ATTCCAGAACAGGGTTTCCCAATCTACTTGATGCAGTGTACCCCTTGGCCATTTCGACTATTTACCATATACCCTTAATTACTACTGAGGTCACTCTTACTCCCCATGAGTGGGAGTGACCTCCCCCTCTCGCGAGTGGGAGTGACCTTCTCTCGCGAGTGGGGTCGACCTTCCTACACAAAGCAAACGCCCTCTTCCATCCCTTTTCCAGCAAGTGGGCGTGGTCTTGCTTCCCCTCAGTGAGCATAAACCTCCCCGTCCCTCCCTAGCGACCCTTCCCTCCCAGTGTGACCTTGACCCCAAGCTAAAGACATGCCCAGGGGGCACGTCGAGCGGACAGCGCCGCGGAAGCCTCACCTTGTTCGCCACCAGCAGGATGGGGACGCGGTCCGTGCCCTTGACGCGTGTGATCTGCTCCTTCATGCCCTTGATGTCCTGGAAGGTCTGGTGGTTCGTGAGCGAGTACACGACCACGAAGCCTTGTCCGTTTCTGATATAGAGGTCTCGCATGGACGCGAACTGCTCCGTGCCCGCGGTGTCCAGGATCTCAAGCACGCACGGCGACGCGTCCACCTCGATCTCCTTCCGGTAGAAGTCCTCGATGGTGGGGTCGTACTTCTCCATGAAACACCCGGACACGAACTGCACCGTCAGCGCAGACTTGCCCACGCCGCCGGACCCCAGCACCACCACCTTGAATTCACGCATCATGAATGCTTCCTTTTCTGGGAGCCACCACACCTTACATTTACTCGGACTTAGCTTCCACCACTAAGTTATCACAATATTTGACGCACTTATCACTACACGTGCAGGCACAAAGGCACTCCAGGCGCCTGCACGAGTGCGCGCACGAGCGAGGCAGCGCGCGAGGTTCGAGCCCCCGAGTCCCAGGGCGCAACACTCCCCGCCTGCTCCACCTCCTCCTCAGGCACCGCAACACGGCCTGGCTGCGGGTTCTCGCGGCGATCGTGATCACGTGGTGCTGCTCTCGGCGGCCCGCCTCGTGCTCTTCACCACCAGCATCGTCTCATTATAGCACCTGCAAGCAAACAGAGATACAGTTAGACTCATTGATGCAAGGGTTTACAATCAAATGGTACTCGCAGTCGTAAATTACGCCAATCACCATTACGCTCACACTTCAGATAACAATGACATAACGTAGCTCCTAGACAGCATCCCCGCCCGCCCACCAGAAAGCCATTCCCGCGGGCGCTTCCCGAGGAGCCTTATCCTTTTCCCAAACAAGGACTTAGGCCCTCGGCGTGCACTACAGCTCTCCGACGGTTTCAAACTGATAAAGGCCCCTGATTCAAAGCTTCCCTTCTCCTCGGACAAAACGGCTCCGCGTGACCATTATGCAAGTGGTCCGTCCCGGAGGTTCGGGCCATGCCCCCCCCCCCCGTGGGCCTACGGCGGCCCGGTTCGAGTGCACAGCGGGCGCTGAAGCCGATTACGGAGACACGGAGACGCTTCAATCTGTCCTTAACTAACAACTTCAAACACTTGAGGAACGCCGCCGTCGCGCGGTTGTTGACTGCCGGGTATTTACAGTAAAATGAGTTGTTACACTCTTGACACTCGTGCAGACTACTTTTTTTTTTTGTAAAAATAAAGAGAAAAAACAAATAAAATAGATACAAGAAATGTTGACTCCCGCAATTAGGGTACTTATCGCGACTCATCTCCCAATCCCCCAGATCCAATGGAAAATAATGTTTACACTTGAATGAATGTGGTCTTCGCCCTTGCGCCAAGTGCTACGTAAAAACTTCATTCACCATCTCATCCTCGCTCCTCGCTTTCCTCCGCCACTGTAAATTCCCCTCCCCTTTCGGTCCCTTTCTCACGCAAACACACACACACATACACTACACTCCATTTCAGTCTCCTTCACACACACACACACACACACACACACACACACACACACACACACACACACACACACACACACACACACACACACACACACACACACACACACACACACCACACACACACACACACACACACACACACACACACACACATTACACACACACACACACAGAGCCTACATATATATAAATAGAGACACGCATATCGCGCCCTCGACCCGCACCGCCGCGCGGTTTCTAGCACTTACGGCTTAATGACACATGGCCGAGGATGCAAAAAGCGACCTTACAGCTACGCTCACGGTCCTGCCTGGCGAGCTTGTCATGGCTGACTCAAGACCCGGGGATTTTTCCGTGTAATTTGTCCAAAGGAATTCCTCGCGGGTCGTCCCTTGCGCCACCAGCTGGAGGGGCCGGCCGCTCGTGCATGAGGCTCGCCATCGCCGTGGCACGACCTCCCGGTGGCACTGCGCGGGTGTGAGGCCGAGGATGGTGCGGGTGGTGCGATGGTGCCGTGGCGGGGAGGGAGGATCCGTGGCCATGGTGGCTATTTGTGAGGGTGAGTGACTGCGGCCAACCTCATGTGGGGGAATTAAAAAAATGACATTGCTGTGGGAGAGAGCGTCCCATGGCGGAGGCCGCGTCAAGTTATACCCTGAACAGTAGTCTCCCGGGAAGGTAAGATAGGGAAGTGCTCCTGTACCGAGTGAGGACACATATATGGCCACCAAAACCAGTGAAACTCTGGCGTGAGGACCTACGGCTTCATTAAACACAAAAAAAAAAAAAAAAAAAAAAAAAACGCAAATACGGTTCTAGTAAATAAATATCTTATCCGTCGGACGTCACTTCCACCGACGAATACGTCCACATGGCTCGGGAATCCAGAAAACAAAATGCAAACCGAATATTGACACGCAACGCCTCTTGCTATAACGACCCAAGATGCATCGCACTGCTCGCAAAACAAGGGGTTTAGCTAAATCTTTCAATGGCGCGGCGCCCAGTAAAGACTCAGCCTGGGTGCAAGGAAATTGAGCAAATGCGAAGACAAGACACGCAACGGGGCAAGGAGGACACTGCATAAATATCAAGAGTAACAGGGCAATCAACAGAGGACGGGGAATGCAAGTGCAGGGAAGAGCACATTCCGTACCAGCGAGGAAGCAGGACCTCGGCCCGGGCTCGGTCTGGGGATGAGCCACGCCTTCGGGAGCCACGTACGGAAGCGGCCAAGATAATTACATTAAAAAAAAGGGGAAAAAAAAAAAAACGATGGTGACGACAACGATGAGCCAAGATTAGTCAGGGATGTTCAACACGGATCAAATAACAACAATGTGTAACAAAGGTCAGATAACGGGATGTTCAGAAGCGTTGGGAGGGGGGGGGAGGGGTCCTTGCCAGCTGAAAGGTCGGAGTGAAGGGGCATTCGGGAAAGGTCGGGCGGCAGACGCACGACCGAGGCGCGGCGGCGGCGGCGGCGGCGACGGGCGAGCACTGAGGGACAATTAATTAGCGTAAGGACATGTAAGTGCGGAGGAGCGTCAGGACTCGCGCTGACTCACCGCCAGGACGAGCCGAAGCAGCCAAAAAAGAAGAAAAAAAAAACCCAACAACTCGACGCTTTGCTTATTTACTTTGTTTGTCAGGCGACAGCTGTCCTGCGCCGGCCCAGAATCACGGGGAAGGACGAAGGACTGGCTACGAGGAACAGGAAGGGAGGACCAGAAGAGAAGGGAGGGAGGGGGAGGGAGATGAGGGGAAAGAACCAAAAGAGAACACGACGCGGGGGAGAAGAAGGGACGGGAGGACTAAAAGGGAAAGAGGGAAGGAAGGGGAAAAAAACAAAAACAAAAGGGAAGGGGGGGGGGGGGAGACAAGGAAGGGAAGAACCAAAGGGAAGCGAGGGAAGAACGGACATGGTCAAGGGAGAGCAAAGAAATGGGAGAACCAATCAGAGTAAAGGAGAGGAAAGGATTGAGGAAAACCAAAGAGGGGAAAAAGATTGTCAAGAGGGAACGGCCGAACCCAAAAGGACGTGGGAGTGGAAGGGGAAGAGGGTCCAAAAAGGGGGAGAGGATTGGGGCAGGGAAGGCAAATGAGGACCAAAAGCTGGGGAAGGGCTGGGCAGAAGGGCGGAGAGAAGCAAGAGAGAGAAAGAGAGAGAACTTTGAAAAGAGGGTCGACTGTACACAAGAAGAATCAAAATTAAATAGTGTGAAGGTCGGAGCTCCGAGAGGAGAGATCAAGAACATGGTGAGCGGGGGTGGAGTGGAGGGGGGGTGGGGGGAGCTCAAGGAATGAGAAAATGAGGTTGAACGCAGATAAAAGTTGCAATCAGGAGGAGGGAGCGGCGATGTGATGCGACGCCGTGCCCCCTGCCGGGAAGGGAGGAAACGAGGCAGCGGCGGGCGCGAAGGAAGAAGGGCTTTCGTCATTATTAAACTCACAGCCTCCCTTGAGCCTTGACAGCCGCCCTCGCCTCCAGCCCACACGCCCGATCAATGGGCGCTCGCGATGCCCGGGTGCCCCGCGAGGCACTGAGGGCCGCGCCCGCGTCCGGGGCGGCTAAGGCACGAAGCGTCTCCTCCGAAATGAACTGCTGCACCGGCGGGGGGGGGGGGGGGGGCTCCCTCCACGCGACCCATAAGCACACTTTAAGCCAACAAAGTGTGTCTTCAGAGTATTAGGGCGACCGCCGTGGGTGACACAGGTAGAGGGTAGAAGGTTGCGTAATATGATCCTCTCCTGAACTCCTTTCACGTAATCCTTCTCCCAAAGGCCCCGTCTCCTCCTCCAGCTCCTTCTCCGTCCTAGGCTGCTGTGATCTCCTCCGCATCGAGACCGCTCTGTATTTTCTCGGTATTTCACACCTCGGAGGACGACGACTGCAGTCAAAAAGCTCCAACACACGAGTCCAGTGCATTCTTGGCGATATTCTGCTAGTTCCCAGCAATCCAATCCAGAATGTCTAATTCGACAACTGTTCGCCACTTTAATGTCGAGAGCACACTGCCGAAAATTAATATATCATCAGGTTTAGTAGAAAAGTGAAATTACTGCGAGTATTAAACACACGCACACACACACACGTCGATGTATATGTATATGTATGTATGTGTATAAAATATAATATATATATATATATATAATATATATATATATATATACACACACACACACACACACACACACACACACACACACACACACACACACACACACACACACACACACACACACACACATATATATATTATATATATATATATATAGACATACCCAGATATATCTATATGTATATCTATTTTATCTATCTGTCTATAAACATACATGCATGCATACATGTCAGACATCAAAACATACTTCAGTCATAATCTGGCTTTCTCAGGTACATTACCACAATGAAACAAGGTATAGCACAAATTCGACCAGTTGCCCCCTTACCCCCTGTTTCAGGACGACCCCCATAAAATAACAAGTATATCTGTACCTCAAGTTCATCAAAATTCCATTACTTTTGTATCAGAGTCTGTCTTGCACCATGCACGCCACTCGAATGCAGATTAGCGAGAAACACTGTGTGGCAATCCAGATACTGCACGTCCTTTTGCCCGGAAAATGCAAGGGAAATTTCACGGCTCCCAGGCTGGAGGCACGGAACCCAAACCCCGAAACTCTGGAGCAGCATCCGAAATCCGTTGCACCGAGGTCCTAGGGCTCCGTAACCGGCCGGCAAAGTAATCGGCCATTTGTCACCGACACGCCAGTACTCTGTCCCGTCCCTAATCTAAATATCGTCACAGCAGCCACTTCGTCTTTTGTGGCATGGAGATAGGAGAACGGGTTTGCGTGTAATGAATAAATAAACATTAATCAGAACCCTTACGACGGCCGTCCTGAGGAGAACTTCGATAAACCGGCCAAAACAACTACTGCCGTTCAGATTGTCTCCCATGTTGGTTTTGGTATCAAACTGCACTTCTAAAATACCTATTTGCTGAACCGGACAAGGGGAGAAAAATCCTATAAAGAAAAAAAAAGTGTATCGAATAACTCCGTAATATATGAGAAAGCGCAAAATAGAACAAAAAACAAACGAAGAATGCGAAAGCTTAAAAAAAAGGTACACTAAGGAACTGGGAACAGCAGCTCA